TGGATCATACGATGAATGTTGTGTATAAAGAAGCTTTCTAGAATTTATGATTATATATGTATTTAACTAATATTGTTCAGTATTTATTGGTATATATCGTACATTATAACAAATTTTAGTATACATTGGGTAGTTTACGGATTGTCATATTTGTAATACAACATTGTTTTTATGGGTCATATCATTTTTTACAAAATAAAATTCTCACCGTGCATCACACGGGTTAGAATCTAGTTCTTTATATATATAAAGCAGAGTCGGAGCTGTAAGATCCTGACATTTGGCAGAATTGAGGTATGACACGTGGCAGTGCTGATGTGTCATTTTTTTAACAAATAATATATGACATGGCACGAGATACATAAATAAACTTACCTTTCAAAAAAAATAACTAAAATAAAAAAATAGAGCTTTTCTCGCCGATGAAGCCAAAAAAAACATAGCTTTCCTTCTACTCTTCCGTCTCTTTCCTTCTAGCCGATGAAGCCTAGAAAAATCAAATTATTGAAGGAAATAAGGCAAATTTTAAGTTTAAGCCAAAAATGGGAAGCTTGAATACAAGGTAATTTCAAGTTTCTCTACAAGGCAATTCAATTCGAGGTAAATTAGCCTTGGATGATCACTTCTCTCACTGGCACATTGGTTCTTAGCCTTTAATTTCAATTCAATTTTTAAGCAGATCCATTAGTTTCAGTTTGATGCTTTCCTCGAAGAATCGGTCTTTAATTCACTATGGAACATTTGATTTTGAAGTGCCTCTGATTCCCCCTTATTCTCATGTCTTTCGAAAAATCAGATAGTGTTTCCTTCTTTCGAATTATTGGACGACTTTCAATTGGAAAGCTTTAATTAATTGATTCAATTTTCTCGAATTCTTAGGCTTTATATTGCGTATTTCTTGCTCCATTGGGTAAACTCTCTAGCGGATCTGGAAGCTATTTGTTTTAAATGGATTTGTTTCTATGCCAAAATTCATGTTAACCCCTACCAAATTTGCATTTTCCCCCAAATTTGAATGCAATTTCCCCCTTAAATTAACAAGAAATTACATGCTAGAAAGTGTTTGGTTTTAATTCTTGAAATTATATGCAATTAAAAAAATACCGTTTGAAATTGCATTTTTTCCTAAATTCATATGATTTATTTACCTAAATTAGTATTGAAATTGCTTTTTACCCAAATTCATATGCATTGTTTTAAAATTTAAATTAGTCCGCAATTCCAAAATCTACACCCCTTTAGAATTGTGACGATGTTTAGAGTGGAGGATGCTGAAGCTGCTATTCAACAATTGAATGTATATGTGAGCTTCTTTCACTTATAATAATCATTTTGTCTCTTGAACTAGAAGAATGGTTGCAGGTTTACGTTGATTATTTGAAGAAAGTAAGGTTGTTGTCATGAGATTTGACTTTTGAGCAATATGTGGTGTCATTATTCAGAGGTTAACATGAGTAATTTCAGGTGCCATATTCACACTCTCACTATGAACACAAACTATTTCAAGAATTTAAAAAGTTATACTATTATTTACTAAAATTGGCAATTTTTTTAGTTGGAACAGGAGAAAGGATACTAAAGATTGATGTCATGGTTCTTGCTGATAGTGGTGTTCTAAGATTGCCTGGCTATACATGAAGTTATGAAGCAGCAAACATTAACAATTACTAAATCTGGAATGCGTCCATCTTTGAAAGCTCGATGCAGCACATCTTATATATGAGAATTTGTGAGTTTACTTTATTAAAATCACTTAAGGGCATTCCCCAACACTTGCTCATTTTCTTATCCTTCCTAATGGTAGTATGATCGTAAAATGACTCCAGCAAAGGATATTGGACTTTTAAACTCTTTACTATCACATTTTGATTTACTATTTATTGATCTAGATCAAAAGTTATGGTGAATATTGATTAAAAGAACTTTACACAATAATTAATTGTGATCCATTCTCTGTTTAATAGACTAGAAGAGGAATGTTTTTGATCACTGCTATAGCTGTGTAAATAATATTACGGCTATCAATGACCCATGCAAAAAGATGATAAGACAGGTATGCCTTATGCCAATTTCAGTCTATTAGAAACATCGTATGTTGAGCTGAATTTTAGAAGATCAAGAAATACTTTAAATACAAAAAATCATATTACTCGCATGATATTGCAACTTTTTGTAGGTGAAGAAAAGTGACAGAAACTATTTTGATCTTCAATTCCACGCATCTCGAAGTAGAATATACCTCTCATACCATGTTTCTACTTGCCGGCAGGTGCTTCTTTTTAAGTTCAGTTCAACTCTCACGCTTCGTGGCCCGTTTTACATTTAATATGATACAACATTTTATTTGGTCTTCTCCCCAATTTTCCTATCCTTTAATATAAAATTTGAGAGTTGATTGCTTAAAATTATGACATGTGTCACTTAAAGAGGTTTACTTTTTTGACACATCAGCCTTCCACGCGTCAATACTTAAGAGACCAGCCGTTCGGCCATTTTCCTTCACCGAAGAAAATACCTAGGTTTCCTTTCTGCAATTCGGCGAAGAAGGAAGGAACACATGAACTTCCAGATTTCATACAACTATTCAAGGATTCGGGGAGATTAAAATAGAAACTTCATTCTTCATCGCGTTGCGGATCTATCGGTGCAGTCCAAAATAGGGATCTCCAAATTAGCTATGATTCGAATTATTGATTCTTTTTGGTATTTATGTATATGTGTAATCGAACTAAATCTGGGATTTAGATTACTTTCTTTTCAAAGAATTATTTGAATTTTTCGTCTATGAGAAAGAAATCAAATCATACGGGTCAATGTGTTAACAAAATAAATTTTTATTTAAAAAAATTCATATTTAATTGTCATTCATCCGCGTTTCTCAATCCATTCTTAATTTGAAATTCTTCCATTTTTCTTTTGCTTAATTCGTATGGGTGACCAAATGCTCTTTGATTAATTTTCTTAGTCAATTGTGCTTTTATTTTTCAATTTTTTTGGCCCTGCAAAATCAGTACCTACAGGTCTTTTTCTTTTTTATCTTTCATTTCATAGACTTACTTAACCGTAAGTCTGATTTTTTACTTCAAAAATGGATCTGATTTTCATAGCTTCCCTTGGTATGTATTGAATTTTTTTTGGCAGGCATCTCATCAAGCTCTCCGTTAAAGATGATTATGGTACAACTATGTTATTCCTAACTTACCGTATGGCATCCTCCATTTTGCTTACATTTTGTGTCGTGTTGATAGAGAAAACCGATGTTGTATGTACGGAGTACTTTTTATTCTAACTACATGATTAATCTAATACCATGAAATATTTTATTCATCATAACTTTTAGTTTGTTTGTTTGACTTTACCATGAAATATTTAATTCACTTATATAATGTAAAATATTAGGGAATAATTGCACAAAAGTGATAACTAAACTACCAGAGTTCACTTTGATTTTTTAGTGTATTTTGATTAAATTTGATATTCAACATAATTATTATTAAGAGTATCTATTAGTGTTTTTTATTGATTTTAGATACTGAGTATCTTTTAATTAAATTAGTCTGTCTAGGAATACACTCTTTAATAGTAGGAGGATATGTTAATAATGTAAATTAAAGGATTTTGTTACATTTTTAAAAATGTAAATTTGGTACGTATGTATTTATCCTGCTTTTGTATCGAAATTGATCTCGAATCATACGAAACTGGTATTTTGGGATCAATACAACACAAAATCCTATACCAAACTAAAATATTAGTACGATATCGATATGAGTTAAATACGATGCCATATCATAACATGCTCACTCCTAATAAACTTGACACATTCCAAATAACTTTGAATTATTTGGGACTAAACCAAATTTCCACTGGAAATTTCATTTCAAACCAAAAGAAACTAAAAGTTTATGAAAATTTTGCAGAATCCTAGAGATGGCAAGGCCTCATCTATTTTAAATACAACTATGTTTGTGTTATTTGTATACTAATGTAAAAAAAAGGATTCATATTAGAATGAAATTAATTTTGACAATCCAAAGAGTTTGATGACTCATTTAGTAAGATTTCATTATTAAGGATGGTGTATTCAATCTAGATTTTAAAAAATTTATAATATTATTTAAAATTTGTACATTATATAAAAACCATAGATTGTTTTAATTCTACATCGACTTAGATAGATTTTATTGGCAAGATTTTAAAAGATTGTGTTAGATTGTTTAAAATCTAAATAATAATGTGGAACAAAAAAATTAACCGTAACAAAGAAGGGAACAAAAATAAAAAGCCAAAAATTGATCAAAAGAAATAAGTTTAGTGTGAAAAAAAATTGAACTATCAGAAATAAATTGAACAAAAAGCAAAAAAAAGGTCAAATCAAAATTGAACAAAAAAAACAAAGAATTAAATGTTAAATGCTATATTATTTATTCTACTTTTGATGTGTGTAGTATTAAAAATCATATCAAAATATATATTTTTATTCTTTAAATATTTTACATTGAATAAAAAATTTTAGAATTGGTATTCACTCACGGTCAACTTTATGTTACAGTTTCACGCGTGAAAACTAAGAGATGATTGAAAGTATTAGTTTTAGATGACAACGATAATCCTTGCAATTGTACCAAAAATGTTATTTACCCTGAAGTTTTCCAAAAAATTTGGATTTAATTGATACATTTGTACATTCTTTTCAATTTTTATATGCATAAATTTTAGTTACCATACTCTGTTTATTGTATCTAAAATTCTATATTATATCTACTTTTATTTTATAATTATTTACTTAAAATAAAAATTTAACAACTTTAAAAATAACATGCGTTCGACCCCGTGCGTTGCACGGGTTAAATAGTAGTTATACACAAATGTACGAGAAGCTATCAAAGACCGTCTTTTGACTTTTCAATGGAGTTGTCTTTTGGTTAATGAGATCATCGTAAAAACGGCGTCGTTATTATCCCTAATTCCCTAACCAAAGCTTAGAACGAATAAAAGGGCCAGAGAAGTCTGGACCGCAACCTTCCGCCCGCACCTCCGCCATAGCCAGCAGCACACAGTGCTCCGCCTCAGCTGTCTGCCTCGCTCCTCTGGTCCTTCGCCTCCAGGTATTTTGTTTTCTTAAAACCCTAAATACCCCATGTCTCCGCAATTAGTTTTTTATTTATTGTTTTTAAATGATCAATTACTACGTATGGTTTATAATAGTATGTGATTTGACCTCTGGGAAACAGCCTCTGTACTTCGTATTTGTTTAATTATGTTAGATACTGCGTACTTATTAATTATGATTTGTGTTGCATGGGTGCATTTGTAATTTGTGGATTTTTTTAACTTCAAAGTCGTGATTAGTTCTGTTTTTAATATAAAAATTTAGTTAGTTTTCATTAATTTAATTACTAAACTCTTAATTGTGCTTAGATTTGTTTAATTTTACTAGAACGGAAGTGATTGATAAAAGTAAATAATTAGGAGGAAATTTGCCCCTCGCAACCCTAAACACTATGCTTGGTCCAAGGAATTTGAAAGGGGAAAGAAAACAAAATGAGATGGATAACAAATTTTCCTGTTTGCTTAGATTAGAGAGGAAAATAAGACAAAAGCGGAAAGAAAAAAAATTAACCATACACAGTGTATATGAACAAAATTAAATTTTGATTCCTAATTTCCTATATTAATTGTGCTTGATTGGTTGTTGATTGGATTAAAATATGCCTTTGAATAATTGAATTGTAGGTATATCACAAAATCTATAGCATGTTGGCATAGGGTGTGAAAATTGAAGTTTAGTTTTACATTTGAGGATCCTTCTAGCATATATTTATATAATTCTTTGCCTCACCTTGCAATCTAATACTCTATATGTTTAGATAACTTGGATTTAAGTGCTTATTCGCCTCATCCTGCAATCTCATATAGTTAGACACGGGACCCGATGGGTCAAAATTCCTGGGTCTGCCATGGGAACTACATATTCATTCTATTCAATAGGTCATTTTGGTGATGATCCATCTATCTTTGAACTGTTGTATTGTTGTAAAGAGCAAAATGGAAACCTACTCCCTTGAGCAAGTAGTTAAGAAGTGTTTTAGAAATACTCCGTATTATTTATTTATTCGGCCTATTTTAAGCAGTTATTACAATCTTAGTGTTTGGCAAGCAACATCAAATTTTTGCGCATTGCGTATTTTAAGCAGCTGAAACTACATATACGGACAATAAAAACTTGGTTTATTTTAAGCAGCTTAAACCACAAGCAAACAATAAGAAGGATATATGTAGATCTATCTTGTTCTCCAAATTAATGTTTCCAAAAATTGGAAAATTCTCCAATTAGTAAATACTTCGTACACCACGGTTCTTTTGGTATTGATTATTGAAAGGATTTAGAATTGGGTAGAGATAACTGGACTGGCTATAAGACACTTGGGCTGAACCACATTAAAAGATTGAATCCAATCGATTACTTAGTTCAACTCAAGAGCTTATATACCCATTATTTTTCTCACACTTTTCCGATGTGAGATACTCTTTAACAATTATCAACGTAATAATATGACCCAGGACACCTACGGTGGGGGTGGCGGCAGAAGGGTTATATTATGTCATTGGTAATCAATGTCAAAACTCAAAAGATCCTTTCCCAAATAAATAGCAGTATTTCCTATTAAGTTTTCTCTCTTGTTTGCAACTTCTGAGAATTGTTACTCAAAGATAATATTTTTGAAAGTATTTCTCTTATCTTTGGGAAAAGATTGTTTCAATTTTAACAACCAACAAAACAAGTCAGTGAAGTCCCACAGATGTTGTCCAATAAATATATATATTTATATATAGATATATTTAGTTATATATAAATATACTTGTTTATATATAAATTCGGCGTCTCCTCAGCATTGTCTCTCCATTTTTTAAAAATAGCCATTTCGGCGTCTCCATTTCATATCGTCTCCGTCCCCGTCGCCGTTTCAGTGCTACATAGTGGGGGTGAGTGGGTGTGCGCGGACCCTACCTATAACATCCAAGCTAAGAGAAAATCTGTACAAGTAATCAAATCTTCCCATCGGTAAGGACTCACCAAAAAAAATGGTTATGATTGTATCTAGTTTGTGCTTTCATTTGATAGTAATTTGCAGACAATGGTTTCTCTCTCTCTCTCTCTCTCTGTGTGTGTGTGTGTGTGTCTATATATATATATATATATATATATATATATATCAATGCTATTGATCGTGTTAAGCTCTTTAATTTAGAGAAACGTTAACTTGAATGGAAGGGGGTTAAGACATCAAGGGCTGTAGACGTTGTAGGCAAACATTAAGTGCAAGGGGATTACACGTTGCAGGTTATATTTACAGCCATGTGTAAGTTTAGAAAAGCAATCTTGTGTTTAAGTTTAGAAAAGCAAACATGCGTTTACTGAAGCTTTGATGAAAATATAGAATATAGGGGACTCATCTAGTATGGTAAAACCTGATGGTAAGAAGTGAGATTGTTTACGAGTGAGTAGATATATAGTAGCCTTAGTAGAGGTTGAACCATTGAACAATAAGAGAAGAGAAAAGGCCAAAGCTAGAGTAAAGGGGATTCAATGGAATCAACATGTATATGTATTTCACTGTTAAGTGTGCACGCAACCTGTTTGGGACTTTGGGTAATTCTGTTCTTAGCTTTGTTAAATCCAGCTATTGTTTCTGTCAGCAATGTGAAAGTACTCTTTATTCTAATGAAAATAATGATTCAACATTTTATGAATTGGCGATGTTTACCATTCTTTTACGCTAAGAAATATATTTTTTTCATTACTTTGGCATGGGAGCTCTACACAGAAATTGTTAGCTTTTCTGTATAAATTCCACTATTCCAGTGTATGGATTTATGCTGCACTTCACATTGCATGCTGATTGAGCCTGAGAGTGTGGCTCATAGGTCCTAGGAGTAGTCGACCAAAGCCCGGACACCTAAGTAATAAATAAATTGTTTTGAATTTGCCTAAAGACATTCTTTGTTGAAATGCCCTTAAAGTAAAATATTTGAGTCCATGTCATAAAACTATAGGACAAAGAAAAATGAGTTGTGGCATTTTTTGGGCATGAAAGGCTAACAACTTGAATGGTTTAGGTATTTTCTGACCCACATGGAAGATGCTCAAATGCAGGAAGTTTTTTGTCCACAAGTTAAAGCGACCCTTCGTCTTGGATCAGAAGCACATTCTGTTGTGGTGAACAATGTAAATGTATCAACGCAACTGGTCTCAATGAAAGAACAGAGCATGAGTATATTAAAGGATTACATCACAAGGCATAATGTTCCAAATGATGTCCCTGATGAGCCGGAAGGGATTTCTTCTGAAGACGAAGAGGAAGATAGTTCCTCTGAGAAGCCTTCTACAAAGTCAAAAAAGAGAAAGTAAATTCTCTTTTAGTACGTTACATATTGTGCGACGAAGGACTATTTTTTAATCAGTTTGCCTAGACGGGATGCTTGAAACTTTAAGGACATTTGTGTGTTTTTCTCACTCATAGGATAGCTCTTGTAGTCACCTATACATTTTTTTTATTCTGGATTTAAGATAATATCTTCTTTCAACCCTCCGGTGAAAGGGCATTCGAGCCATCTTCTTACATGTTCTTTTTATTAATAATTGTATACTAGTCATCAAGGGTAGCCGATGCGTGTGATAGATTCTCTCGACTCACCTAACAACTTGGTTTTCATGGGATCACCACTAACCTTATGATGAACCACAATTAGAAACTCATCCATATTTAGAGTAATGTTTTATATTGTCTGTTTTGAATTTGAGGCATATTTAAGGAAGTGAAAAAATAGGTTGACTTTTAAAAAATGCCCTTACTTTTTTAAGAGGTGACAATGAATGAGAAGATAAGGTAGAGAAGAGTGACTTATTTTAAGGGTAATCTAGGTATTTTATCCTTAAGAGTTTGCTATAATAAGAAACAGACAACTTATTTGGAACGAACAAAAAAAGAAAACATGAAATTTAAAATGAGACGGAGCAAGTATTGTTTATATTTTATAAGAGAAGGTTAATGGAAAGGCTTGCTTGATATTTACTCTCTTAAAATGTGAGGTGTTTTGGTAGGAGAGAGGGAGTGGTTTTAAATTAGCCTAAAGAGCATCGAATAATTGAAAGACCTAAAGAGATGTCTCATGCCACCCCTATGAAATACCAAAGCATGAAATGAAAGCTCATTTTTAATTTCTCTCGTTCAAAACAGTGTCATTTAACTCCAATTTTGTAACTGCGGCAAGTGGCAAATTTCACACCTTTATAAGCTCTTTTGCCAGCTAACTTTGATTTTAGGCTAACACCTAAACCCATTGCCCATTGCATTAGCTTTTATTGGCTATTGCGAGGACCAATAAGAAATATTGGGGGACACATAAGAAATTATTGATCATAAACACTGCCCTATATTTATAACAAATACAGCACTGGAAGGTACAAACAGAATCAGTACAGTAGGGCGATAACAGCATTAGTTAAAGCAAAAAAAAGGAGCCTTATTAAGGTAAATATTTATTGAGGAGATCATCAAAATATGAGTTACACTATATATATTGTTCTCTACAACTACTGGTTGTATTGCGCATATTTGCTCGTCAGCACTTAGTCCTTAGTGCCCTTACATTAAAAGGCGAAGGGCATTCTTTACTCAATGGAGACATACTTGGGCCAACGACCGACTCGAAGATTGTATTGTCACAGCCCCAGATGCCATAACCAAGGGGTAGAATAAACACAAGAACAAAAGTTTTTATTAGTATCACAAAACATAAGGAAAAGCTCAGGGGAAGGTAAAA